GTTAACGGAGATAGATATTACACGGATCCCAGAAAGTAAAAAAACTTTTTTTCACTTTTCACTAATCTAATCCGGGACTCCTCAGCTTCTGTCGTCGGATCGGCGATTCCTCCTCCGTCGTCGGCGAAGACTCCGGCGACGATGTCAGCAAAACATCGCCATCTTCATCGTCTATCGGAGAAGAAAGTGCCGAAGACGAAAACATCTCCACCGGAGATAACGACGGAGAAGAGTCCGACAAGATAGTCAACGGCGGAGACGGTGGAAGAGTCGTCGCCGGAAGAGAAGTAGTGTGAACGGAATCAGAATCTTCTGGAAGCTTCCGTTTGTTTCCGTTTGAAAGTTTAACGTCTTTGGTCGTCAAATGACTTCTCAGACGTTTCACGTCGGCGAGTTTCACCGGTTTCAGTAAAAAATCCTCTGCTCCTTCCTCAAGGCACCTACTCATTTTCATTTACATTAATCAACAATTTCTCATAAGCTCAAAAATCTAGCAAAAATCTGCGAAAAATCACCTGTCGATTCTGGTCAATACATTCTCCGATGACATTATTACAACAGGAACTTCTCGGAAATTAGACGATTCCTGTTTCCATATAACAAAAAACTCCACATTGTTCAGACAAAACAGAACAACCAGAGAGATTGACGAAAAGGAAAAGAATTGAAGAATTTAGACAAAACCGACCTTAATCTTCTTGAGAAGCTCGTAACCAGTCATTCCAGGCATACAGTAATCAGTAATGATCAAATCAACTTTCAATCTCTGAAATACGAAAACAGAATCGGTAAAAACAAAAAACAAAATGTAAAAAAATCAAATTAAATCTCAATTTTTCAAAAAAAAAAAAAAAATCTCTATCTAGATTTCATGACTTACGTCGAATTCAGCAGAAGCTTTTTCGTTATCTAACCCTAGAAACTCCAGAGCTCTCCATCCACTATCTACCGCCGTAACTGAAACAGAACCACCGGAGATATAAGAAATTTCCCGGCGAGAAAAAAAATGAAAAATGAATTTTTTTTTTTTAATTCCGGGATAGGAACCTTTGCAGGAAGTAACACGAAGCAATCTCTCTATGACAATCCGATCAACGAGGCTGTCATCGACGGCTAAGACGTGAACTTCGTCTAAATCCAACGGTGCAGATTCGATTCCGACGTTCATCATCTCCGCCGACCTCCGTAGACAAGAAACGCCACCGTCTCTGGCCATAGACAAGAAGTAACTG